CCATAAAATACAGTTATAAAACATTAAAAAAGTGCGAAGAAATTTAAAAAAATTTAAACGAGATCCATACAGAATTTTTCTTTCGAAATTCTTATGTAAAAAATAAAACAAAGAACAATTATACATCCAAAGAAGTATGAAAATAATAATTCTTCATCTTTACAATCATCCTCTATTGCATTTATTTGTTCATCTAACGCTATCACATTTTTAATAGTATGCTTCAGTGCACCACCACCCATCACTTTGTTGTGGTCACCCTAATCTGTCAAGATGTTGCATAATCATAAAACCATCTATCTAATCATTAAAAGCATATTAAAGACAACACAAAAGTGAATATTCCTGATAAAAGACTACCTTAGAAGCTTTGGTAATTCATGGCGTTCGAAAAGAATAGAGCGAATTGGTTGCACAAATGTAAGACTACAGGATAAAACTTCTTAGAACTAACCTTGGAAAATATGCCTAAACTTCGATTCATCGTCGTGAAGATCCCTCGCAATGAGTTTGTGTGCAGGTGTGTCTGTGAGAAATCCTGAGGCATGAAATTGAAAGATTAGATAAGAATCATTATTGCATGAGGTGAAATTATGATATTATGGGACTACCATTACCAAGAATAGAGAAGCCTTCATGTGTGCTAGTATCGTTTGCGGTTAGTATCTTGCAAAAGTAATCCATTCTCTAATAGGAGTTCCCAACTCCATTGGAAGATGTATATTTTTTTGTTCTTGCTGCACTAAACGTCAATGAAACATCAATTTTAATCAATGTGCAATGATAATTAGAAGAAGGTGCAAAAATCATCACACAATCTAAGTCTAATTCGAGAATATCGGAGTCAGGGGTTGAACATATACTTCATCCGTCTTAACATGTGCCCGAATTTTAACAAATAAATACAACTCTCATATGTATAAGAATTCTCCGTAAGTTCATAACAAGACTATAAGAATGATTAATGTATAAAGTTCAAAAACTCACATGCATTGTAACATTGTGGAGTTAGCAGAGCAACTGGAGTTGGGAAATTGTACTGTGTAAATAAAATATCATCTTAGTCAAACCGATGAAAGAAGAAATCAAAGTTTAATTAGATTAGTAAAAAATACTTGCTCACTATGACCCTGAAGGAAATAAACCACATGACTTAGGCTAAATTGTATTCATATTCTAGACAGGTTAGGCGCCAAATGTAAGCATCAATGTTTCTTTACTCCTTAGAGGTTATCAGTCTCATTGTAAGACATATAAATAAGTAATGGAAAGAAACAATAAAAACATAATTGAATAACACAGAAACCACTAACTAAAGATGCAACATCATATATTCTACAAAAATGATTTAGCTAAAAATAAAGAACTGGTACCGTGCTTTCCATAAGTTACAGTTATTTAATTGAGAAGTTATTAACTCTAGTCAAGCTGGATAAGCTTTCAGTTAAATTAAATTACCTAACCAAAATATTACAGTATGTCAGTCAGAGCATTATAAAAAGTAGAAGGAGTTGAAGTGTCCATTTGTTTCACATCATCAAAAAGGGACAGAGCTTGCAACCAAACATTCTCATTACGACTTATGAGAAGTCCATGTGTTACT